GGGAATCGCGAAGAAAATAGTAAAGGTCGCTTTTTGCAACTTTCTTAACTGAGCCTGTAATGAAAATTTAAAAAAATACAAATAGAAAATTTGTGACCTTCATAATTTTCTTCGCAATTCCCACAAATTGCAAGTTTTTCAGAGTTTTCCGTACACGTCGTTTGGTAAACAAATCCTTATAACGTCTCAAGTCGTCTGGTCCAGTTTAAAAAAAGTTATGCTGTTCTAAAGAGTGTCCGAATATTAATAAGATTAACTGTATCTGCGTTTGCCACAAATTCTCGAAATTATTTAAGTATTGAAATGATAGCAGAGATTACATAGAAACACTGACTATAAACACGCAATTTTCTAGTAAAGCTGAAGAGTATAAATTAACACTATGTCAGTTTCACATCCATAAATGAGTTGAATTAAAATAAAATGCTTGTTTAACAAGACTTTCGTTGTCACAATTTTACTTTGAAATAAGCAAAGCACGATAAGATACGATAACAACGATACTAACATGCATGCCGTTTTCAAACTCACACAAGTTTAACTTAGTCGATTATATGTATTTCTGTTGCAATATTCGATATCTGCTAGGAGCCAATTGACAGTGGCACTTGTACGAATTTCTATCAATCGTCGCTTCATACCAGTAGTTACCTTCAATCAGGATCATTACAATAAAATAATTGTGAATGAATCTATTGAATTAACTGAGCATCTCGCTAATTGGATAACACTTCTTTCAAGTAACTACGTTACGAAGAATAGGACCATAGATTTCCTCAAGTTAAGTCTATTTGCAACGAGAAAAGCATCAGCTATCACAGAAATTGACAAAACATTAAAGATCCACATATAATGGACTAATGTTTAGTTACATTATTTAAAGAAAGATAAAATTAGCAATAAATAACCAGAAGAAAAAGTTGAAGAGAACTAATAAAAAAAGTAATTGATCTAATGATTCTAATTTGCTTTTAAAAATTATTACACACTTTTAACAGATACTTAAGGGCGCTGGCAATACTTTTTAATAACAAACAGAAATATATGTAAATATTCCTGCTTTTCTTTAAAAACCATCTAACTCGCTGAAATATAATTTGAAATATAATTAATAATTTGTCGAATATAATTACTTCGCTTGCACGTAAAAATTCTAAGAATACTTTTATACAAGGTGTCACGTAACTAGTGGTACATGAGTAGGTGATGATTCTGCATGAAATACTGAATCGAAAATATAGAATAAAATTTTTTCATAAGAGGTTTAACTATCGAGAGAATTGCTTTATATTTGTACTAATAAACGATGCTAATGTCGCGATACGTATTGACCCATTATTAACGATTTCCTTCGTTTGAATTTACATTACTGCGATAATTGTTGCAATTGACGTCCGGCTTTTTGAATTTGGGAATCACGGACTGACGATGCGTTATTTTGGCGCTTTAATTATGTGCTTTCTCTCAGCTACACATTTACACTATCTTCTGCGTAGACTATTTTTTTCGCGAAATGTGACATTACCACTGTTTGTCAACGTAAAAGTATGAGCAGAAGCAACAATTTCTAGCGAATCTTTAAATTCAATTTTCTCGGGAACAAAGCCTCGCATGAAAAAATTTCATTCTATATTCTTGATTTAGTTTTTCATGTAGAATCGCTGTTTGTCCACTTGTACCACTAGTTACACGGCACCCTGTATATGATATGTTCGTTTTCCTACAGAAATGCAAATGTGAATTTGCGAGAAAGGTTACAATCAAATACATCACAGACTACAATTGAAAACTCCATGTGTACAGGAATCTAACCCGTGCGTTCAAATAAACATTGAAATCGTGAGTTTCGATTTAATATACTTTCTTCGGATATTCGGCAAGATAAATTTATAAAAGAACCGGTGAATAGAACGGTTTACATACTGGTTTGCTTGAGATTAGTTATGCGTAACTACATGCGTGGCCTTAGGTCTTTGCCGCAACCTGGATGGGTACGGGTATTGCGTAAGGACACGTTAATCAGAAGCAATGTATAATCCTGAACCTGTCCACAATAAATCCAACCACGTCATGTTCTCACTTGAGAAAATTAAGAGTTTCAGAGTCTTTGCCCTTGACGTTGAACATTTATGTTCTCAGCGAAGCTCTTTGGAACTGAAATAAACTCGCTATGGAGCAAAATCGTCACAGGTTGAATAGCATCTAAGGCGTCTAATAATAACCGTGTGTTTTAAAGCGTGTGTTTCACGTGAATTTACATCTTATTGAACGGTGAAAGCAATATTGATAATAACATTGAAATTCTTATTTAACTACGATCGAATTTGGGGTATAAAAAAGAACCGACGATTAATTAAATGCTTTATGCGTAAGTCAGCGAGTGTAGGAATATTTCTGACAGTCGATGTTACGATAATACGAGATTTTTATAAAATTACTCATTTTCCAAGTTACAGAGAGGAAGTGCGAGTTTCAGTAACGCGAATAAGTGTTTTGTATATGAGCCGCTAATTTACAAAATCGGTTACCTCCACAAAACGAAAAGTAGAGAAAATTGATGAAATTATATACCTACATCAAATACAAATGTTAATATTAATAAAATTTACTTAGCAGCTAAATTCTTATAAGCGTTTGAATTATATTATTACAACGATTTGTTTTAGAGTATGGAGCTAATCACATTGGCTTCTGAAACGAATTCTTTGCTATTCTACGGCCATAAAGATTTAATGGTGGTAAGCCTGATAATTAAGAAAATTTATTTTCAATATGAGAGGATAAGAGTCAATCAAGTGCTTTGGTATTAAAATTTTAAAAAATTCAAAAACTGGAGTTAATCACTTTGGCCTGTGAACGGTTCGTATGGCGCTTGAATGTCACACGTAGTGCATGTGTCGTCTCGTCAATGATATTTCCATATTGAGATGGAAATAATTTCCACAGGATAAAGTGAAGTCAAGGAGCTCCGTTGTCACAGTCCACGTAATACAAGGGATAACAATCCAACCAGAAGAAAACACCAATTGGTGGATAAGCAGATTTGTTATTTCACATACAGCTATCGATACGAGTACTCGGTGTTTTTACAACGGAAGAGCTAACGAATGAATGAAGTAGCTGTAGACGTGTGTTAATCTGACATCATCCTAACTGTTTTCTCTCATATTGTTCCACCTGGTAAAAACAGATTGGATAGTGAAAAAATTCCACGAATATCCAAATTTACAACGGTATATATTCCTCGAAATAAATCATTATAAGAGCAATGATTTTCCGCGTAAAACTGGAACTTTTTATCGAAATCTGATCGTACTAATCATACGTCACCTGGAATTGTTCAAATATCCATTTTCCAGGTAACTTATGGTAATAAATAAATGTACAATAATTGTTCATTTCCCGGGGTTCAACTTTGTTATCGATATAAAAATCTTTCTCTTCTTTGAAACTCAAATTTATTAATTACGCCTTCACATTGATAAAAATATACAAATTCAACAAAATGAAATTATTTAAAAAAAATACTATATGTGTAATAGTAGAGTGTCTTATTTAATTGTTTACACAATTTTCTGTGCTCATACTACTTACTAGAGTAATTGTAAGATTATTTACTAAATTATGCATACATTTAGAGAAGGTTGTCAGAAACAATTAACCCTTAATCGCAAAAACATGCGGATTTGTATTCATGTAATTACCTAAAAGAATCGTAAAAGGCAAATATGTATTTATCACACTACTCCTTTAAGACTCAAAATAATATCATAGTTTAAAGGTAATATAAGCTTTCCATTTTAAACTGTATTATACAGATACTTTGCACAGTTTTCAAAAATTTACGACTATAAAGTGCTAAAATAATATTAGGAATGTCTTAAGAATGTTAGACCTGTAGAATGTCGACATACTTTCTCAATTTTAAACAAACCTTCCACGATGATATTTGTCAAGTAATTATACTTATCAATATTGTTCTAAAGTTATACTCTAAATATTTCTGTAAGCCATAGTTTCAACAGAATCACAAATATACAGATTTCACTTGTGTACTCACCACCTAAAATCGTACGAATATTAAATTGCAGAAATTGCAAAATTCTGTTATTCGAAATATGAAAGGGAAACAAAATGTATATCGTTAAAGTTGAGCACTTATCGTTGCACTGGTGAGGTGTCAATCGCATGGTGGACGACAAAATTTTTAACCGAGTTTTGTGCAAACGAATTTATATATAAATTTCACGTCTCTCCGTTAAACATGATCGTTACTTTAAAGTATCATAAATATTGATTCAATTCCTGGGATGTTGGTTTTCCTCGAGAAAAAAATAACTGTACACCAATGTTCCAGTATTTGTTGCAAATAAGATAAAAGCCGAGCAGCACCCAATTGGTTAACCTTGACTGCAATTCGTTATAATTTAAAAAGAAAGTGGCTCGGCCACTAATACCGGAAGAACAGTTTTACAAAAGTCACGAGAGCTGCAAAAGTGGCCGCTAATTTATTTCAAAAAGAAAGTGCAGTTAGTCATAAAATAAGCAACAGCGTTAAAAGAAACTGGATAATGAAAATTTTTCCACGCGGAACAATGAAAAGCATAGATCGCTTTCGTGACCAGAGTTCTTTAAGTAAGTTCGCTTTTGCTTTCGAATTTTTCCCCACATTATACACGCATTTACGCGCAACATTTGTCGGAACCAGCACTAAAATACAGCGACACGAAAGTTATCGTTGCGTCAGTATTTTCATATTAAAAATTTCATTGCTAATCAACAAAAACTAGTATATTTGATAATACGTATTACCGTGGAAGAAATCGCACAGATCCGATTTAGGAAGAAAAATCTTGATCCCATGTCGAGACTATTCAACCCATTTTCCAATTGAGACCACGATCGTACTCGATTCATACTGAACTTTTCGAAACGCGACTCGCGAATAGCTGAAAAGAGGTTCTCCCAGAAGACTTGCAAAACGATTTGTTTATCCTTACCGCCTAAGTTTTTCTCTTTCGGTATGGTATCCTACAACTGGAAAATATCCTTGAATCCTTGGGTTCACCAGCACTCGAGAGAAGAAAGAAGAGACAACCGTTTCGTACGAATGTTATTGACGCGAGTTGCGAGAAAGGAAGAAAGAAAAAAAAAAAAAATGTAGTATCGGTGAGGTTCGGCGGAAGTACACGAAAGTCGTTCCGAGCGGTCGTAGTTAAAAGCGAGGAGGTCGGTCAGGGCCGTGGAAGGCTGACGCGCGCGAGATGAATTCGCGGTAAGATCGAACCAACGTAATATACGATCTATCGTAGCCTGAAGCCGAGTTAGGACTGTGGACTCTGACAATCCGCGAGCGAGAGAACGTAGTCAGCGGGCAGGTCTACCAACTCTCCATTCGCTGTCGCGGCCCCACCACCGATTCGCGATGCACATTTGGTAGCGATAGGTGTGCGCAATCTGTTTCAGGGAATCGGTGAAATCGTTCTGACGATCACCGATCTCCCTGCCCTGTCCTCTGCACGTGCATCTTCAACTGCTAAATAGGTAACTCGCCTTTCTTCTGTTTAATCGATGTTTAAGCAAATCGTACCATCATCTTTCCATTCGCTTCATCACCTTATATTTTCAAATCGATTCGAATTAGTTTATTCCTCTTGGTTCATATTTCTCATATTCGTCGCGTTACATTTTCTTCCTAAACTGTTAACGGCGACATTACAACTTCCAATAGGATATTAATCTGTGAATGTTTAATCGCTCGAAATATCAATCCTTTGAGATCTTCGTACAAACGAGCGAGTAAGAGAATCATTCGAATTGAACGATATCAAATGGTAAACGCTCAACTCAAACAAATACACCGATAATTAGAAAAACTCGTAACCATTCGCAATAATTGTGATCAATCGGTTACCTGCAACACGATTAATCATCCACTTAGCAACCCACGTCATTCATCAGATTGTCATTGCGCAACCTGAAATCAAAGCAATCAATTTTTAAACCGTTACGTCTCACCTTAATCTCGGACATAATTACAGACGTTCTTTCTCTTAGCAAACATTTTCATACACCAACAACAGCTACAGCATCTCTTGCTACACTTAAGGAAATACGTGCAAAAAATTGTACCAGGTACGTTGAAAGTTACTCTCGACTTATGTATGTCGAACTTAAATTGTCATTAAAGGGGAACGGCTCGAGAAGACATTTAGATGGACATTCTGTAAAGACACAGAAACGTAGTCGAAAAAATTTTTTGCAATTTGTATATATTTTACATATCTGCCTGTATTTCATACGGTAGTAACTATCAAGAAAATTCTTCACAATGTGACGTTAAGAAATTAAATTAAACAATATTCTTCTGTTAGCCTTAAAAATTATTCAATCCAGCTTGGTGTTTCTTTCGATTTTGAAGCTTAATGTCATTTCACGTTATACTCTTAATGTCTAAATTCTATTCAAAATACAGCTTGCTTGAATTCGTTGAGATTTAAGTGTACGAATCTCTCTTGCATCTCCGTTTTACGTCGTAATTTACTGATTTTACTAATTAGAGCCGTAATTTAGATAATTTGTGGAAACTAATACCTTATTCAAATGCAACGTCGTAAATAATTACTTATATACAGGTTGACCTATTTTAATTTATAAATACCAGTATTTCGAAATCTACGTTGAATTGAACAATCTGCCTTTGGGGGATTAAATGAAACGAAGGGGGACACCGATACGTGCAGGTGTAAGTTCTCTAAATGCAAGTATTAAGGTCATTTCAAAGTCGAATGGATTTTTTTTTTTAACGGCTTTGCAGTATGTTCTTTTTACAAAATGATAAAACGCAACGGGACGAATTCAGTAACCTCGTATGTTGCATGATTTTATTGGAAAATACAACGACAGAATGTAAATGGGGACTCCATTTTAAGAAGTAACTTAGGCATCTCGCACTGCTGGCAGATTTTTCAGTTTAACGTAGTTTCCCGAAATACCAGCATTTATAAATTGAAATGGACCACCTCTGTATATGAAATAATGGCGCTAGTCACGTGACGGAAGTCATTAATTATGTATATCGATCAACTAATCATTCATCGTTTTGACCCTTTCTGCTAAAGAAGCCCGTAATATTGATACGAAGAAGCCTCCGAGATTTATCTCAGCTATTTAGTCAAGCGACAAAAATACTTATTTGAACCTGGTTAGGTTACCAATTAATATTTCCAAATAAATAAAATTTAGTTTGTTATTCGTTAAGCAACAGACTTCCACGTTATCGCATGTAACCATTGTCGAAGGTTCAAGATGCGATTAAAAAAGAGGATATCTTACATTGTACAGCAGCTTTCATACTCTACACTGGCAAATTCCATAACATCCAGTCATGTTTACACTAAACATAAGCTACGTGTACATAATTTGCAGGAATGAATCGCGGTAAAACGACCAGTTGAAACAACTGCACAACTGTAAAATGAAATACACGGTAGTCTGTTGTGTTATCCTCGACAGACTTATTTTCACGATGAACAGGTATTCGAACTTGGGATACATATTCAATTATCGATTATCACTTATTCACGTCTCTCTATCATCTTGACCAGCGTAGCAACCAAGAGGTCTCCGCGGTGGCTTCTGGTCTACGACTTATTGTTAGTCATATCGACCGACACTCGTCTTATATTTTCTGACCCAGAAAGAGATTCTTGCGAGGAGACAAGTAGTGAATCGAGTCAAGTTAAACGACTAACATGTCCATTGCCTCACTGCCGGCTGTTACGAATCGACCATTAAGGCGATGCTACGTGTTGAATATCGTTATTTCGTCAGGAATCAATTGCCAAATCTCTGTTACACCTTTCCTTCATTTTTACACGCATTTTAATTACCATCTCTCGAAGCAGGCGACGACAATTTGAAAACTTGCCACATATTACCAATTGCTTGTTAACACCGATAACCTAAAACTGTAACGACCATTTTTTACTGACCTACTTTTTCATAGTAATTTATTTTACTGCAACTCTGCTTCGGTTTCTGCAGTTCAAAGACTGCGACATTAAATAATTCAGCAAACAGAAAAATATTAAGACATTTTTCACAACCACAATTTAACATTATTTTGAATTCTACACATGGTGGACCGTTTATACTAATGCTGTTTATGGATATAATTAAGAGGAAGACAATCTCTTCTCAATGTCAGTTTTGTCGAGCTTTCAAGGTCACCATTGTGTTTTTTTTTTTAATAGAATTTCAATTCTTTTCTGAACTGTTATGAAAGATAAATTCAACTATGTCAGAATAATACGCCATTTTTATCGCCTAACCTTAAAATATTTTAAACTGAACACAATTAATGTTTTCTAAAGGTAGCCGAGCCACGTCAGTTTATATGTTCGCACCCAATAAAACGTAAATGCTACATCGCTCTTAATTTTACGGTTGTTGCTAAATACGATAATCAGAGACACTAGCTTACCGAAGTGAATGACCATCCTTCTTTGCTATTTCTATTCGAGATAGCACTGTACATTTCATTTCCAACGAAAGATAATAATGTTTACAATAAATCGTACGTTTATACCTTTATACATTACAGAGTCACCTCCAGAATCGACTAATAAGTTGCTCATCCTGTTATACAGGGTGTCTCAAAGTTAAATGATGAAACTTCACCAATACGTTTTACGAGCAGAAATAAGAAAAGAATGTTATATATTATTACATTGAAAAAAAAAGTTAATTTATGTTTTCATTTCAAAGTGCTATCGTTTCGAGTTCAAGCTTGACATCGTAGAGAGACTCAATTTAACACTCTCCGGATTTCATGTGTATCTTACTTTAGTTCAGTGAACGCATCGTTAATCAATTCCCGATGCGAGTTAACTCTTGTACGATACACTATCGCTCTCACAGCTCCCCAGAGATAAAAGTCCAACGATGTGAAATCTAGCGATCTCCCGGGCCAAACAATTCACGATAATATTCTTCTAATCATTCTCTAACAGGTCTCGCGCAATGTGCCAGCCAGCCATCTAATTGGAACCGGCATACGTTGACGATAAAAAAGCGCAACTCCTTCTAAAAGGACTGGTAAAGCGTTGTTTAAAAAGTTTAGCAACGAATACTCAGTCAGTCCTTCAAGTAAAAGATAAGGTCCTAGGAATAAATTGTCGTGAATCACATGTTACATTGAAATTGATATTGAAACGCTGTTCGTCACAAAGCGTATGGATTTTCTTCTTTTTATTGTAGAAATTTAACCCTTATGTCGATAACCACAATTGTCGTTTACTTTATCGTCCAATTTTAGTAGTTTCCTAATAACAAAATTCTAAACTTGAAGCAAACAGGGATAGGGAACGTGCCAAGTAACAACGATCTGGCCGGATATTAAAATCTTTTACCGGGAAGATCAAATGTTTTGAGTGAGAATGTGCAAAAGAGTACCCGGCCATTGACATAAGGGTTAAAACACCTTCCCTCATAGAAGATAGCTTCTTGATGGAAAGGAAGCATCTTCCTGCAACGCGTGTATGTACCATTCGCAGAATTGTAATCGCTTCTGAAATTCATCTGGCAAAAGATCCTGCACCCGTGTGTAGTGCTACGGATATCTACTATCAGCTGTTAGCGTTCTCCAAACAGTAGATCCAGGTATCTGCAATTGATGCACGCCTCGGCGTACAGTTTCTATAGGAGTGTCATTAAAGACATTTAAAATTCTTTATGTGCAGCGAGGTAGACGCATTCCTCCTTGCTATTCAGGTACAGAGCGAAATGGGCTTGTTGATCGGGGCTGTGTAAAAAGTCTGCTAAACACCGTGAAATGTGGAGCTCTCCTATTAGGGAATCTTCATTCGTATTCTCTCACGGCAGCTCGAGAATTTCCATTGCAAAAGCCGTGAACAAAAACCATATCAGCGTACTCTTTGTTTAACACGTTGAATTCTGCACAACTTGTCCACGACGCCGACATGAATTTTTTATTTCAGAAATAAAACTATTTAAATATGTTGTACGATGCATTGGGAGAAAATTTTACAAATATTACCATTTATTTTAATTAAATGCTTGTATTAATCGCCGGTCAAAGGTGACCCCCACGACATTCAACGTGTTAAGAATACTTTTGCCACTTTGTATGAAATTATACTACGTACTGATGCAAGTTCACTCAACTGATCGCAGCAGTACACAATTCCACATCTATGTCATTCGATCATTTTCAACGATTTCAAATCGTAAGAAGTTTGATCGTTTCACTTTGGAACACCTTGTATACAATATAATATGAAGTCCCACGCAACTAAATAGGTGAGAATGTGTAATGTAGCT